CCCCACTTTGGGTCCCGACCCCAACTTTGGGAAACACTGATTTAGTATGCTTGAAGCCGCACTGATCATCAGTATCCTTAAAGAGTGCGATTTTGGAACAACTAATTTAATACTAAATGTACTTTAGTTGTATTTAAGTTGTACAAAAGCACAATTTTAAGTGTATTAAGTGTACTTTTAAATACTAAAATGGAACAACTTCAAAYATACTTAGTACTCTTTAAGTTTATAGTTTTGTCTATACACTTAAAGCACTCTGACTTTTTTCATATTGAACCATCCTTTGGTTAGTTTCCTGATTTTATTTTATTTCATATTTTTAGTTTGTGCTAAATGCCAGTCTGTTCTTCTGTTGTGAAACATGTTAGACAACAGGTCGTTTGTCTCGACTGGGAAACTGACTCGTAGCAATAAAAACATTATGCCTTTCTTTCTCATGTTTGCTTTTTAAAGCAGATTAAACAGACAAAACCACTCAAAGCAGTTAGTGTTAACAGTAGATTGTGTCTCAGCATGCGTGTGCGCTCAGTTTGTATCTATAGTTGTGTCATTAATTTTAGATAATACAACATGTCACAGTGTGTCATCCTGACTAAGTGATTTCACTGGAAAAACAACAATCATCCTGGTGTCGCAATGACACCAACTTTGTTTTTTGTCACATCACAGAACAAAAGATTGTAAAACCAGATCCTTTTGAAGGTAAAGTTCACAATATGTTTTTGTCTGTTAATTTAATTATAGATACTTAAATATGTAAGTAAAATTTAGATAAAATCACAAAGTGCTTCACAATAAAAGCAAGAAAAATACATTTAAAAGCATCACAAAAGCATTACATTCATACAAAAGTACAAGTAAAAACAGTTTCCACTGAACATRGCTGTTGTGTTTTGAATGAACAAAAACCTTTGTGATAATTTAGAGTTCATACAGAGTCTGAGGACRTCTCAAGTGTTTTTCTGTCCCTCTTCATCAAGTCACTGGCCTCAGACTCTGACTTTATTAATGCTCTACAAGGAATCACAAAAACATCACAACAAACTAACAAAAGAAGACTGCCGTACAACACGAGGAATATAGATTTACATTTGTGATGTGGTTTGTTAAAACAGTGTAGTCTCCAGCAGTCATTGTCAAAGAGAAAATCAAATTTTAGCTTATTTTAAGTAAAGTTGACTAAGTTGGACAAATTAATACTTTCAGATTGTTTCGTTAAATCACATGAAATGTTTCACTTTCCAACAGTCAGAGTTGAGTCTCATTCTTCATGGGAACATTTTAAAAACGGGTCTCATTCAGTTCAGTGAAGTTGGGGATGACTCAAAGTTCTGCTCCACGTCTGTGACTTCTAGTCCTGAATTAAATTTGTTTTTATGAATCATAACAAAACATTTGGTTTTCTTCTCCTCACCTTTGGAAAAGTTTAGCTGTTTAAACGAGTCTTTTTGCCTTTCAAAGGGGGTTTTAATCACGTTCTTTCTGGTACAGTTTGAGATTGTTTAAAGCCGATGTTTCCTATGTTCTGTTTCTCAGTTTTATATTGGTCATGTTTTTATATTTTTCTGTTGCTTGGTTGTTTTATTAATTTGGCTGAATTGTGAAGCACTTCGGTCAACTCTTGTTGTTTTTATGTCCTGTGTCCCATGCATTCCATTTAAAACAAAATTCATTCAAACCAGCCTGATTACATGCATTCTGATCAAAACCTGCATGATAGTAGTTTGAACATTGACTTGAGTCTAATATCACTTACTGCGTCAACACATCTGTCGTTTTGTTGTTCTGTCAGAATTCCAGTAACTTTGCTTTTTAAGTGAAACTGTTTTTATCAGTTTAATTTTTGAATTGAACAAGAGAAACCAGTTTATTATGCTGTAAAATTTACTTTTAGCCCAGTTGTTGCTGGTTTTAGTATGCTGTAAACCAGTGGTTCTCAAACTTTGTATCTTCTGACCCACAAAATATYCAYGGCAAAAACTTGTGACCCCAAATATTACTGGTCTGAGTACACAAACTTCATTAATAATCCTAAAAACACAGGCTTTTTGACAATCTAAACAGCTTGTACACAAATATAAATACTTATTTATACTTATTTTGTGTTTTTGTAATAGTTATAGGGAAAATATTACATCAGCAATTATTTTATCACCCATTTCTGGAG